CCAATTAATGCTAATTTAATTTTCAAATCGTTCAAACAGCATGCGGAAACAATCTGGAATCTTGAATTGCAAGGTGACATACATGTTGTAATGGTATTGACCTTTTTGTACCTAATAAAACTATAACAATTAGACCTAACGACAATATCTTGATGACTAATAAAATTATACTGAAACTATGACATAAGAATAGTCAGCGCCCCGATAAGTAATTAAAAACCCCACCTCTTGGATTGAATTAAGAACTATTTGAAATGAAGTAATCACTTTAAGTCGGAAAGACAAAGAAATGCTTTATTAAATTACACTCCTCTTTTTCAAAAACCTGTTCCATCTGGAACATGGCAGCGTGTTGTGAAATCCACTATGAATCTACAAAATTAATACAATACTGACCGTTCTTTGTTAATTACATGTAATTGCATGTAATTGTGATGTAGAAATACATCCTATATAGGTGTGTCTTTCAATAATTACACATATCTCTACAACAGGAGAATGCTTTACCAACTGATTGACCTCAACTAAGACAGCATTTCTCATCTGTTGGTAAAACTTAGCAGGGCGTGATTGATAAACTTAATGACCTCAACTAAGACAGCATTTCTCATCTGTTGGTATAACTTAGCAGGGCGTGATTGATAAACTTAATGACCTCAACCAAGACAGCATTTCTCATCTGTTGGTATAACTTAGCAGGGCGTGATTGATAAACTTAATGACCTCAACCAAGACAGCATTTCTCATCTGTTGGTAAAACTTAGCAGGGCGTGATTGATAAACTTAATGACCTCAACCAAGACAGCATTTCTCATCTGTTGGTAAAACTTAGCAGGGCGTGATTGATAAACTTAATGACCTCAACTAAGACAGCATTTCTCATCTGTTGGTATAACTTAGTAGGGCGTGATTGATAAACTTAATGACCTCAACCAAGACAGCATTTCTCATCTGTTGGTATAACTTAGCAGGGCGTGATTGATAAACTTAATGACCTCAACCAAGACAGCATTTCTCATCTGTTGGTATAACTTAGCAGGGCGCGATTGATAAACTTAATGACCTCAACCAAGACAGCATTTCTCATCTGTTGGTATAACTTAGCAGGGCGTGATTGATAAACTTAATGACCTCAACCAAGACAGCATTTCTCATCTGTTGGTATAACTTAGCAGGGCGTGATTGATAAACTTAATGACCTCAACCAAGACAGCATTTCTCATCTGTTGGTATAACTTAGCAGGGCGTGATTGATAAACTTAATGACCTCAACCAAGACAGCATTTCTCATCTGTTGGTATAACTTAGCAGGGCGTGATTGATAAACTTAATGACCTCAACCAAGACAGAGGTTCTCATTTGACGGGTGCTTTGCTATTGTCCCTCACTGTAAGTGATCCAATAGATAGAACAGCCATTTGACGGGTGTATTGTTCTCGTCTCTCATTATACGTGATCCAATAGATAGAACAGCCATTTGACGGGTGTATTGTTCTCGTCTCTCATTATAAGTGATCCAGTAGATAGAACAGTCATTTGACGGGTGTATTGTTCTCGTCTTTCATTATACGTGATCCAGTAGATAGAACAGCCATTTGACGGGTGTATTGTTCTCGTCTCTCATTATAAGTGATCCAGTAGATAGAACAGCCATTTGACGGGTGTATTGTTCTCGTCTCTCATTATAAGTGATCCAGTAGATAGAACAGTCATTTGACGGGTGTATTGTTCTCGTCTCTCATTATACGTGATCCAGTAGATAGAACAGCCATTTGACGGGTGTATTGTTCTCGTCTCTCATTATAAGTGATCCAGTAGATAGAACAGCCATTTGACGGGTGTATTGTTCTCGTCTCTCATTATAAGTGATCCAATAGATAGAACAGCCATTTGACGGGTGTATTGTTCTCGTTTCTCATTATAAGTGATCCAATAGATAGAACAGCCATTTGACGGGTGTATTGTTCTCGTCTCTCATTATAAGTGATCCAATAGATAGAACAGCCATTTGACGGGTGTATTGTACTCGTCTCTCATTATAAGTGATCCAGTAGATAGAACAGTCATTTGACGGGTGTATTGTTCTCGTCTCTCATTATACGTGATCCAGTAGATAGAACAGCCATTTGACGGGTGTATTGTTCTCGTCTCTCATTATAAGTGATCCAGTAGATAGAACAGTCATTTGACGGGTGTATTGTTCTCGTCTCTCATTATACGTGATCCAGTAGATAGAACAGTCATTTGACGGGTGTATTGTTCTCGTCTCTCATTTTAAGTGATCCAGTAGATAGAACAGCCATTTGACGGGTGTATTGTTCTCGTCTCTCATTATAAGTGATCCAATAGATAGAACAGCCATTTGACGGGTGTATTATTGTCGTCCTCACTATCAGTGATCCATTAAATAGAACAGAATATTGATGTTTGAGAACCAACACATATTGCATGGTGTCAGAAATCATGGATCTACAAGGCGTACCACAGCCCAAAATGGATTGGGAAGCGACGAACCTTCCAGAGGCTTGGAAGCATTTTCAACAACACGTGGCCTTGATCTTTGCGGGACCGCTGAAAGACAAAGATGAAGCTACCCAATGTACTTACCTCTTGTTGTGGGTTGGAGATAAGGGTCGCGACATCTTCAATACATGGGAATTGGGTGACGATGATCAGAAAAAGCTGAAATGTTACTATGACGGGTACAAGAGCTATGTACAGCCGAAGTTAAATCCAATCTTCGCGCGCTTTAAATTCAATAACGAGGTGCAGGGACCGTCAACCATTGAAAGTTACGTTACCAAGCTAAGACTTCTAGCCAAGGACTGCTCATACACAAACACTGTAAAATGATTCGGGATCGGATTGTGTTTGGAACATCTTCCCCTCGTGTTCGTGAAAAACTAATAAACGAAGGTGAGAAACTGACACTTGATAAAGCTATTCAAATTGCTCAGACTTTTGAATACTCTCAGAACCAATTGAAGTTAATGCAAGCAGAAATTTCCGTTGCTGAACCGCAAAAAAAGCGCGAATGATGTGTCCAGTGGTAGGCATGGTAACAAGAACAAGAACTTTCACAAACAGAAAAAACAGCAACAAAAACATGGGGTAGTGGACTCTGACAATAAACAGCAACCTGAAGCAGGTCGTGGCAAGTATGATGGCAAGGGAGGAAACCCCTCAATGCAAGCTTCAAAGTGTGGCAACTGTGGATTTGAACATTCCAAGTCTGGACATTGCCCAGCCCAAGGCAAACAATGTGATAAATGCCGTAAATGGAACCATTTTGCCAAGATGTGCCGCTCTAAAACTGTGAATGAAATGGTTATTGTATCACAGCCTGACTATGACCTGGGTATAGGGGATGATTTCTGTATTGATTCTATATCCTCCAATCTTGTTAATGACCAGGCCTTCACAAAAATTAAACTTGGCCCTAATTCATACCCTGTAAATCTTAAGATAGACACAGGTTCCCAAGTCAACATTTTGCCCCGGTCTATCCTTGGCCAATTAGGTAAATGTCGCGTAACCCCTGACACCCTCAAGCTCTCAGCCTATGATGGGCACCCCCTTGATATAGTAGGCAAATGTCAGGTGGAGTGTAAGTATGATGGCAAGATTAGGTCCCTTAGCTTTCATGTAGTTGATACCAACTCCCCACCACTCCTTGGTTTACGTTCAAGTCTAGAATTAGGCCTTGTGAAGTTTGCACACGCTGTTGAGGCCCGTACTAATACCAATGCACCCCCTGTCAGCTTACCCTCCCCCCCTTGAAACCGGAAGTTCCTGTGAAATCTCAGGGTATGAGTAAAGAAAGTACCTTACAAGAGTATGGTGATATGTTTCAGGGTGTAGGTCTCCTACCGGGAGAATGTGTTATCCAAACTGACCCTACTGTACCCCCAGTTGTACATGCCCCCCGACGTGTTCCTTTCGCGATACGCGACAAGCGGAAATTATCACAAAGGTAAGCGAACCGACTCGATGGGTCAACTCACTAGTGGTGGTCGAGAAACCCAAATCGGGTAAATTGCGTATTTGCCTTGACCCAGTTGACCTCAACAAGGCAATTAACCGCCCACACTACCCTTTGCGTACCTTAGATGACGTACTACCAGATCTCACAGGAGCGAAACATTTCACTAAGCTTGATGCTCGCTCAGGGTACTGGAACGTGAAACTCAAAGAAGAGTCGTCGTACCTAACCACGTTTAACTCCCCGTTTGGGAGATACCGTTTCTTGAGGTTACCCTTTGGCCTCAAATCATCACAGGATGAATTTCAAAAGAAAATCGATGAGTGCTACGAAGGCTTGTCAGGTGTAGTCGCAATCGTAGACGACATACTGGTGTTTGGCGAGACGCGTGAGATGCACGACGCAAACTTGCAGCGAGTCCTTGACCGCTCACGTGGGAAAGGGATTAAGCTTAACGACGAGAAACTTGATGTTGGTGTCACTGAGGTCGAATATTTTGGTAACATACTGAGCTCGGAGTGTTTGAAGCCTGACCCCGCAAAGGTCACTGCAATTGTACAAATGAAACCACCCCAAAACCGTGCCGAACTTGAGACCATTCTTGGCATGATTAACTATTTGGCCAAATTTGCACCAGACCTTTCTAACATCACTACCCCTATGCGCAAACTCCTCAAGAAGGACGCAGAATTCCTCTGGGATTCCCCCCCAACATGAATCCTTTGAAAAAGTCAACAGAGTCATAACTAGGTCACCTGGTCCTGTGTTGACCTATTTCAACCCTAAAGAACCTGTGACACTTCAGGTTGATGCCTCAAAGTATGGCCTCGGTGCAGCCCTGCTGCAATCTGGCAGACCTGTCGCTTACGCTTCGAAAACGCTCACACCGTGCGAAATCAACTACGCACAAATTGAAAAAGAAATGTATGCTATTTTTTTCGGCTGCACTCGTTTCCACCAGTACCTGTATGGTCGTAAAGTAGATGTGGAATCTGACAACAAACCCCTGGTGTCGATAATGGCCAAACCGCTGTATGTAGCACCACCTCAATTGCAGCGTATGCTACTTCAGCTTCAGAAATATGATTTATACGTGCAACATGTCCCTGGCAAACAAATCCCTCTGGCGGATACTCTGTCCAGGAAGTTCCTACCTGATACTTACCCGAGCATGTCAGAAGGTATCAATATGCACGTACACACGGTATTAGACATGCTTCCCGTAAGCGATTGTAAACTTCACGAGATCCGATTTGCTACTAGCAACGACCCTGACATGTGTGAACTCGTAGAGGTCGTGCGACGCGGCTTGCCTGAAAAGCGTTATTCGTGTCCTTCCTCTGTTCTCGAGTATTGGAACTTTCGCGATCAAGTCACGGTCAATGAGGGTATTGTCATGAAAAGTCAGAAAGTCGTTATTCCTCGATCGCTACGTCAAGAAATGATGGACAAGGTCCACAGTGGGCACATGGGTGTCGACAAATGTCTCCAGCGTGCCCGTGACGTCATATTTTGGCCAAAGATGTCATCAGACATCACCGACATGGTTTTGAAATGTACCACATGTCTAGAGCGCAGGAACTCTAATCCCAAGGAACCGATCTTGCCACGCGCCGTACCAGAGTACTCATGGCAAACCATAGCTACCGATCTGTTCTCTTGGAACGAGCAGGACTTTGTAGTTGCCGTTGACTACTACAAGTTGTCGTGTCAGATAATGGTCCTCAATACTCCTCCGAGGAATTTCGTAAATTCGCCAAGGTGTATGACTTTCAACACGAGACTTTTAGCCCTCACCACCCTGCATCGAACGGGTTGGCTGAAAAGTACGTCCAAATTGTCAAAAGGATCCTGTCTAAAGACAAGGCTGACAACAGAGACCCTTATCTGGCAATGTTGGAATATCGTACTTCCCCGGTTTGTGGAAGTTACTCCCCCTCCCAGTTACTGATGGGAAGGAAGCTACGTTTTGTATTACCTATCACAACCACGCAACTCAAATCAAGAACACCTGACCCACAACATGTTCGTGCAAACATACAAGCGAGCCGCACACTTCAGAAAAAGTATCATGACGCTAGGTCTGTACCCCTTGAGCCGTTACATGTAGGAGATCCAATCAGGATCCAGCAAGCTAATGGCTTATGGAAACCAGGCATGGTGACACAGAAGCATAGTGAACGCTCATACATTGTTTCCGCTAATGATGGTGGAACTTACCGCAGGAACAGGCAGGTCCATCTACTGTTATCCCTGAACCTGATGGTGATTATCAGAGTACACAGCCCCCTCCTATTGCCAATTCTGAGCCAAGTTCAAAAGCTTCCCCAACACCATCTGAATCAGTTGTACCTGCCCCAAATGCTCCCTATATAACCAGGTCAGGTCGAGTTGTGAAAGCAAAAGTAATTGACTCTATGTGAAAATGTATCATCCGGAACTGGAATTGTGCTGAATTTCTTAATTCGCGAACAATTTCTTTTGACATTCATAAAAGACATGGTTAATGTGTTCATTTTACATGTTAGTTACCTGTTTGTTCGAGATCATTCTTTCTTCATTTGTTAATGCAAATAACTTAGGTACAAGATGGACAATTGCAACTATCAGTTGACTTTCTGTGACAACATTTAATTGGATAATATTCTGGACATTTAAAATGATTGATACATCATTTCATTTGTAAGAAGGGAGATGTAGCATTATATGCATAATTGTGTCGCGCTACCTTACTAAATACTGTCATGTCCATTATGAGTTATCGCCCTCGAATAACTCTCTACTGTAATGCAGTTATGGCGGAATACACGAGTTGGAACACATGAGGTCTTGTCGTTCTGTTATAATCTAAGGTGTCATTCCCTACCGTATGGTAATATTGATGTTTGAGAACCAACACATATTGCAGAGCATTAGATTATTGTGTGGTTTTAATGGTGCAAGGGAGAGAACTCTTGGTATGATCGTCACATGGTTTGATATTGTGTGGTAACCATATCTTTCAAAACTGACTGTAGAAATTAAACATAATCTTTAAAGCCAGACACGTTTTCATGATATTAGTAAATTTTTTTATGTAAGAAATTATATAAAGCATGCCTAAAGTATGACAATCTAATTAGTGGGAATGATAAATATAACACTTTTACCTGCTCATTACACCGTAACGTTGTGGACGTTAATCATACATTAACGTAACGATACCTTTTCCTAGTCTATGGTTTTCATATGTCGCGGTTAATTCCTTATTCTTGTTGTTCTCAATCTCGCGTCCCCGTGACTAAACAGCGAGAGATAAACTGGAAACGTGGTAGTAACACAGGAGTCAGTGACATGTTGTAACAGTAGTTATCTCGCGATCTCCGTCACAGCGAGAGATACAGATGTACAAAGACTTCTGGAAACTTTGTAGTAACACAGGAGTCAGTGACATGTTGTAACAGTAGTTATCTCGCGATCTCCGTGACAACGAGAGATACAGATATACAAAGACTTCTGGAAACTTTGTAGTAACACAGGAGTCAGTGACATGTTGTAACAGTAGTTATCTCGCGATCTCCGTGATAAAACAGCGAGAGATACAGATATACAAAGACTTCTGGAAACTTTGTAGTAACACAGGAGTCAGTGACATGTTGTAACAGTAGTTATCTCGCGATCTCCGTGACAACGAGAGATACAGATATACAAAGACTTCTGGAAACTTTGTAGTAACACAGGAGTCAGTGACATGTTGTAACAGTAGTTATCTCGCGATCTCCGTGATAAAACAGCGAGAGATACAGATGTACAAAGACTTCTGGAAACTTTGTAGTAACACAGGAGTCAGTGACATGTTGTAACAGTAGTTATCTCGCGATCTCCGTGACAACGAGAGATACAGATATACAAAGACTTCTGGAAACTTTGTAGTAACACAGGAGTCAGTGACATGTTGTAACAGTAGTTATCTCGCGATCTCCGTGATAAAACAGCGAGAGATACAGATATACAAAGACTTCTGGAAACTTTGTAGTAACACAGGAGTCAGTGACATCTTGTAACAGTAGTTATCTCGCGATCTCCGTGACAACGAGAGATACAGATATACAAAGACTTCTGGAAACTTTGTAGTAACACAGGAGTCAGTGACATGTTGTAACAGTAGTTATCTCGCGATCTCCGTGACAGCGAGAAATAAACTGGTAACCTTGTAGTAACACAGGAGTCAGTGACATGTTGTAACAGTAGTTATCTCGCGATCTCCGTGATAAAACAGCGAGAGAGACAGATGTACAAAGACTTCTGGAAACTTTGTAGTAACACAGGAGTCAGTGACATGTTGTAACAGTAGTTATCTCGCGATCTCCGTGACAACGAGAGATACAGATATACAAAGACTTCTGGAAACTTTGTAGTAACACAGGAGTCAGTGACATCTTGTAACCATTGTTATGACTGTTATAAAACAAAACTATTTACTAAAAGCAGCAGTATAGTATCTACCTTCCTAACCATTAAACAGGTATACAAAGTGATCGCTTTCAGGGTGGTTCCACTGATGCGTGAAGTTGCCTTTGACTGTCTGTTCTCCCCCACGATTTCACTGGCTACTGTGAGTACTAAAGTCAATATGTTTCTATAACTAGCCGTTAGACCTGTATAAACCTTCATACAATACCTCTATAATGGGTACCATTCACATTTAAACTGAACACATACTGTGTTACTACAACACACCATTACAGACTTATTGATTATGTCACAAACATATTGACAGGGGTATTAATGATTGAAATGTTTCTACTTAAGTTACATGTACCTAAAAGTATTTAACAGACAATAGCCTAATCGATTACCTTATATGGAATCATTCTGATATTTAACACATGATATGCCTTCAAGGAGGGATTTTTTTAATATTGATATAAATGTTAATTCCTAGGTAGCTAAAGACGAATACAATTCTCTTGTCAGGAAAAAAGAAGATATGGCAATATGTGACCGACATATTTGTAGAATGCAACAGTGACCTTGACCCTGTAGTAATTTAGCTTAATGCAATGTTACATCTACCTGATCTGACTTGGTGTATAATCGGATCACGTGTTTATTTAACATGTGTAGCCTAATAACGTGCCTGATAATCTTTACTCGTGTAATCTGTAAATGACTCCTGGACTTGAGAGTGTTTAACGTGCTCAGAAACAACAGAAGATAGCCTTTCTTGGATTATCTTTTACCTCTACCAAAAACAAAGGAAAACAATCTCTCTTGGAGCGTCTCTCAGCACTACCAAAAACAAAGGAAAACAATCTCTCTTGGAGCGTCTCTCAGCACTACCAAAAACAAAGGAAAACGATCTCTCTTGGAGCGTCTCTCAGCACTACCAAAACAACGGAAAACACATTCTTTCTTGGAGCGTCACTCAGCACTACTTAAACAACGGAAATTACATTCTTTCTTGGAGCGTCATTCAGGATTACCAAAACATCGGACACCACAGTCTTCCATTGAACGTATCCCAGCTCAACCAAAAGTAAGAGAAATCACAATCTTTGTTGGAGCGTCTCTCAGATTCTAATAAAAGACAACGAAAGTCACAGTCTTTCTAGAGCCAAACTTTTTTAAGCCAAAGGTAAGAACATTGCTCGAAGTAGAGTTTTCTTGTTCAAATTGACATTAAAAGACAGCGTGTTTCCTTGCGGATAGAATATTGTGCAGCCGAAAAAAGTTGGTCGAATCCTTACCATCTCGCACACTATGTACGTCAGTGCTAGCACGCCCCACACTTGGTCAATTGTCTGATGAAGGTGACCGTGTAGATCTCGCACACTATGTACATCAGTGCTAGCACGCCCCACACTTGATCAATTGTCCGATGAAGGTAATCATTGAAACGTCACACTCAAATTTTTTTACTTGTTGTGTCATAAGAACTTCTTTTCTATTGTTGTGTTATGGTATATAGTGTCCGTCCTTTTGTTTGGATATCACCTTGTGTTAGGGTATATAATGTCCGTCCTTTTGTTTAGATATCACCTTGTGTTATGGTATATAGTGTCCGTCCTTTTGTTTGGATATCACCTTGTGTTAAGGTATATAGTGTCCGTCCTTTTGTTTGGATATCACCTTGCGTTAGGGTTATAGTGTCCGTCCTTTTGTTTAGATATCACCTTGTGTTAGGGTATATAATGTCCGTCCTTTTGTTTGTATATCACCTTGTTGTATTAGGGTATATAGTGTCCATCCTTTTGTTTGGATATCACCTTGTGTTAGGGTATATAGTGTCCGTCCTTTTGTTTGGATATGTCCTTTTGTTTGGATATCACCTTGTGTTAGGGTATATAGTGTCCGTCCGTTTGTTTAAATATCACCTTGTTGTGTTAGGGTATTAAAGTGTCCGTCCTTTTGTTTAGATATCACCTTGTGTTATGGTATATAGTGTCCGTCCTTTTGTTTGGATATCACCTTGTTGTGTTAGGGTATATAGTGTCCGTCCTTTTGTTTAGATATGACCTTGTGTTATGGTATATAGTGTCCGTCCTTCTGTTTGGATATCATCTTGTGTTAGGGTATTAAAGTGTCCGTCCGTTTGTTTAGATATCACCTTGTTGTATTAGGGTATATAGTGTCCATCCTTTTGTTTGGATATCACCTTGTGTTAGGGTATATAGTGTCCGTCCTTTTGTTTGGATATGTCCTTTTGTTTGGATATCACCTTGTGTTAGGGTATATAGTGTCCGTCCGTTTGTTTAAATATCACCTTGTTGTGTTAGGGTATTAAAGTGTCCGTCCTTTTGTTTAGATATCACCTTGTGTTATGGTATATAGTGTCCGTCCTTTTGTTTGGATATCACCTTGTTGTGTTAGGGTATATAGTGTCCGTCCTTTTGTTTAGATATGACCTTGTGTTATGGTATATAGTGTCCGTCCTTCTGTTTGGATATCATCTTGTGTTAGGGTATTAAAGTGTCCGTCCGTTTGTTTAGATATCACCTTGTTGTGTTAGGGTATATAGTGTCCGTCCTTTTGTTTAGATATCACCTTGTGTTATGGTATATAGTGTCCGTCCTTTTGTTTGGATATCACCTTGTGTTAGGGTATATAGTGTCCGTCCTTTTGTTTGGATATCACCTTCTTGTGTTAGGGTATATTGTGTCCGTCCTTTTGTTTGAATATCACCTTGTGTTAGGGTATATAGTGTCTTTCCGTTTGTTTGGATATCACCTTGTGTTAGGGTATATATTGTCCGTCCGTTTGTTTGGATATCACCTTGTGTTAGGGTATATAGTGTCCGTCCTTTTGTTTGGATATCACCTTGTGTTAGGGTATATATTGTCCGTCCGTTTGTTTGGATATCACCTTGTGTTAGGGTATATAGTGTCCGTCCTTTTGTTTGGATATCACCTTGTGTTAGGGTATATAGTGTCCGTCCTTTTGC